AATGTATTAAATCAATCTGTTCAGCTATGTGTCCCATTCTCTGTATCTTGTTCAAACAATCCAACTTGGTTTTATGCCATTGTGTGCTGTGGCAGGCAAATGTTCTGGCAAAAGCGAATTGCCATTTTCTTGAGCTGAAAAATATTGACAAGCCAGCTGTTGTACTGTTGATACAATTCTTTTTTGAGTGAGCCTACATACAATCACACTGGTGGGTGATAACCCCAAATCATCAGTACAGAGAGCTGTGAGGTTTAGGTAACAATTCCTCTTGGGAACCCAATCTATGTTGACTAAATTACCTGATAAAACAAAGGTGGAATAAACATGCAATAAATAACTAACCAAATCCCAGTTTCCTCAATTCCATTGCACCCAGAAATGGAACTTGCAGTGGTGTTACGCAGACAATTTGCTTCAGGGTTTTCCCCCTCTGATGTGTTTTGCTGTCTCTAGTAGTCCCCGAAGGAGCAAAACACATTGGGGGGGGGGGGACCCAAAGCAATAGGGACAAAAGAGTGACAAAAATGACAGTGTGGAAATGGCTGGTTCAGTTCCGGAAGGCAAAGTGACACAGGGCTTTTCCGCAGGCTGCAGTTCTTTTTACTGCATGTAGAAAGGAAGCAGATTGTGCTAGCTTTCTGCAAATATTACTTTGTAATTTCCCACTGGGAGAAACACACTTGTAGCCAACCCTCTTTCTTCTTAGAAAAAAACACCAAGAATCTTTATTCTCCCTCAACCATTGGCCCATCAGCTGCCACTCAAGAGTACTCGCGTGCCATTGGCCAGGTGCTGGGTCTGCTCCTTTTCCCCGCCCACTCCCACTTCAGCCACTCTGCCTGGCTTTCTCTCTTGATGAAGACAACAAGCTCTAGAAAGAGGCTCTGGGCAGGTGCCCCATCCTTGGGCACTCAGTATCAATTTGCTGTGGTGACTTCAGCAGGGTATAATGACACTGAGTCCAACATTTTCTCCAGAGGAACTGATCTCTGCTACCTGAAGAACAGTTGTAATTTAGAGATCTTCAGCTCTCACCTGGAGATTGGTAACAATGGTTCCCCAAGAGGGAATGGCTGGTTTGGATGGTGGAGTCTATGGCATTCTACCTGTCAGAGGTTCCACCCCTCCTGAAACCTCACCCTCTCCAGGCTCCACCCCTCAAATCTCCAGGAATTTCCCACCTGGAGTTGGCAACCCTATCTCCTTTCCAGCCAATGATCAACCTACCTTTCCACCCTGGGGCTGTCATTCCACTCCTGGGCATTTCCCAATGCCTTTAAACACATTCCCCACCCCAACACCAGACAGACAAGTGTCTGTCAGGTGTGGGAGCAGGGCCAGGGAACTTTAATCCATCAGGGAGGCCACCTGAGCAGAAACACCTTAGCAGTGCTGCTTGGCCAGCCTCCCCAATGGCTTTAACCACACTCCCACCCACCCACCCTCCACCTGACAGGCGGTTGTCTGTCAGGTGTAGGAGCGGGGCAGAGCATTGAAAGCCATCAGGGAGGCTGTCCAAGCACCATCAGCTTAGCAGTCCTATTGGCCCAGCCTTCCCAATGCTTTCAGACACACTACCTCTACACACTACCCTTCCTCAAGGGTTGGAAGGGGCATGGAATCCTTAACACCATTGGGAGGATTGCTCAGCAGGATTGCCTTAGCACTGCTGCTGTCCCAGCCTCCCTGATGTCAACCTCCACTATGAAGAGATTTCTGAGAAACACAACCCCTAAGGGGGTAGAAAAGGGGCAAAATGTGTTCAACCAATTGTTTTCCATGTGCCTGGCAGGCTGCTGCCTCTTCCCCCAATTGGTCAACAGTGTAGCTGAGAGTTCTGAGGTAAAACCTGCCTGCTTGCACCCACCTCCCTCTGATTGCTTAGCTGTGGATCTCAATGTTCTGAGGTAAAAACACAGTTAAAAGAGACTGCAGACGGTTGAGGACAGTTACAGAAATCAGTGATTCAAGACTCCTGAACAGACATTTCTCATAACAGCCAGCATGGCAATTGAGTTTATGAATGTTCATGGGGAAATAGTAAAGAACCTTTCCAGGAGCCTGCTCCAGAGTGAGCTCACCAAGCAGCCTGGTGATCCTAGCACCTGAGAGCAGAACCACCACTGTGGTCTACAGAGAGGTCCTTCAGTAGAGAAAAAAAACCACTATGTATGTCTCACTTCATCCTTTACACTACAATCTTCTCCATTAGAATTCCTACAACAAATGTTACCTTTCAAACTTCACATCATCAGTATTATAACTGGATTTATGGAACTTAAATACCGTAGTGAAGCATAGGTATCAGGCTACTTATTCATAAAAAAAAATCAGGTCACAGCACGATCCCCTCCAGGTAAATGTAAGCACATTTGGTGCTCATTGATTCCATTATGAGGAAGTTTCCTTCACTGAAAACAAAAGGACTTAATAAAACTGACTGATGGATGGGGTCTTTGAATTAACTGTATTTGCTATGTAAATATGAAGAAAGAACTTAAAAGTATGAATTTAAATGCCATTAACTGCCCTACAATCTGGACTGAGTTGGCCAAGTTCTAGTACTGGACTGTAGGCAAGATACAGTAGTACAATTGTACAAGAGCACCACTACATGGGTCAATGTGTTGAATGCCTTCAGAAATACCTCCATCTCTTCCCTCTGTGAGTGTCTGTACAAGTAATGCAGAGAGGAGGTGGTGCAGAGAGGACTCTAGAGTGACCATCTGTGCCCCAGTCAGAAAGAAATTTTATGTTGGTGTATAGATTCTCTCCTCCCCAGACCAGTTGAAGACTGAATTGCCGTATATCTGCTATGGGAGAACTTTCTCTCTTCCTCCCTGTGAAGGGCAAGGGCAGAAGCTTCAGCACAAAGGCCAGCAGCCAGGCAGACTGGACGGAAGGCCGCGAGCAACATAGGGTTACTCAGACAATGCCAAAACTCCCCCCCTCTCTCACAGAGATCATGCACTCCCATTGGAGCCAGGAACCTTCCCAGCTGATCCTCAGCTCAGGTCCACAACCACACATAGACACAAAACAGACAGACACACATAGAGGCCATTCCACAGACAGACAGAGGCTATCCCAGCCCCTGAGCAAAACAACTCACAAGTTTAACAGGTTTACATACATCTCAGAAGAACCACTTAACCCTCCCCAGTCCACTACCTTTCCACACAGCCTGAGGTTAGGCTTGGAGACAGAGGTCTGGGCGAAGATCCTGGCATCCTCTTCTGGCTTTCCACACAGAACAATGCTTTGATGAGATGAACTTTGCAGGTAGGCACAAACCAGATTGGAATCCACAGGATGAGTGTACTGGCTGACGAAGGCAATGCTCAGCGCAACCACAGCTGCCTCCTCTGGATTAAATGCTTATCCCCAAGGCAGAAATCTCATCAGACGACAGGCAATGTTGTTCAGGCAAGAACAAAAGTCATCCCAAGCAGCATTCAGGCTCTTTTGCCAGCAAAAGCTGCATTTCAGCACCACTTAGTTGAGGCTTGGCTATGGACAGATCCCTCTGACCTCCGTGAACGCCTTCAGCACTGGTGATGTCATGACTGGTGATGTCATGACTCCTTGGTTGCCACAATCCAGGCAGGAGATCCCAGGAGTTCGCAACCCAGAACTTGCCCTGGTCACTCACTTCATCAGTGTTGATGAGGAACACAATTTCCTCCAGGGAGCAATATTCACCTCCCTTAGCCATGTCCAAAAATCCTAGCTAACACTTTTAAAATAACAAAAACTTCCTCACCAGTCTGAGCAAGCTCTGCACACAGGGCAACACACCCATAATTATGGCAACTGAACTCCAGTCCATTGATCCCACTGCTGCCACCATGTATAGATTCTCTCCTCCCCAGACCAGTCCAGGAATGGAGGGGAAAGAATTCTACACTGAAACAATGCATTACACAAGAATCCAGAGAGATAGCCTCTCTGAATTTACAGACAACAGCCACCAGGAACCTCTAAGCTTAACCCCTCACCAACCTGAGATTAGAGATCCCCAGAATCTCAGTTGGCATGTGGGTTTTACACATTAGCAACTCTGTCCAGAGCTGTACAGTTAATCTTACAGGGTAGCACAATTGGTCAGCGGGTCAGACTACAGGATTTAGGTTGAACAGTTGCACATCAAAACAGACACTATTTATAAACAAGAATAAGATTTATTCAGTATAGAACTTGCAATCAGACTAGAAGGACTCAAAACAACAGCCTAGGCAAGTTTTGCCTTAACTACACAGTAATAAACATATTTATCAAGTCAGGAACAGTTATCAGTCCTGAATAGTCCATGGTAATAATCCAATAGCCCCAAGGGATTTGGAGCAAGAAGTCCATCTTTGCCAACCATGAGCTGAGCTCACAAAGCAGTCCTTTGTTCTCTCCCAGGCCACATGGCAGCACAACATCTCAGACAGACAGACACAGAGTTGTAGAGATCATAGCAGGAACAGAAGAGAGAGAGAGAGTTCTCCCATAGGGTTTAAGCAGATATACAGCAATTCAGTCTTCAAATTAGCCCTGGCCAGGGGCCAATTGAAGGAGACCTGGATGTGCCCAATGGTAGGGTTGTCATGGCTACAACTTCTGAATAGTCAGTTGTCTTGGAGGCCACACCTGCAGTTGTGATCCCCCAAGCCCCAACTCCCATTGCATACATGCAGCTTCTAGCATGCTGGCCTAGCTTCCAGCATGGAGGTGTGAAGGTATGTGGTTTATGGCATGGCAAATAGAGCTTCTCTGACCAAATGGTCAGCCATCTGGTTTCAATAGGAAATCAACACAGCAGGGACCCATTCCAGGGGGAAGGCAGGGGTTTATAGGAATCAATATTTCTATACAGTTGGTATATACAGTGAAATCCAGAACCATCAAAAAGAATATTATGTGCACTTGCATGAAGGTATGTATGTCTATGTGTGACATTAAATGCTCCATTCAACTTTGACTAATATGGCATATTTTTTTCTCTCTTGCAGGTGGGGGATCAAATAATTGAAATTAATGGGGAAAGCACAAGAGATATGACACACGCCAGAGCAATAGAGCTAATAAAATCTGGTGGCAGGAGAGTGCGGCTGCTATTGAAACGAGGAACTGGACAAGTCCCAGAATATGGTGGGTTTTCACTTTATTTCATTATCCATCTGTGATACTCTTATGTTTGAAATTTCATTTTATGCAATGCTATGCATCAATGGTGCACTGAAGTCCCAAAGCCATTTGTTATCCAGCTACCACACTGTTAGGTTTACCTAAGTAATGTACGTGACTTACTGATAAATATGTCTCTGCATCATAGGTATGGATACATTACTTCCAACTATGCTAGCCCCACTGTCCCATTAGATGTGAACTGGGGTCATTTAGTAGAAAAAGAGTTGCAAGAGCTCATTAGCATATTGGCAGGCCAGCTGGGGAATGGGTGGTTTTTGAAGATCCCACCCCCAGCCAGCCTGCCAAGCAAAGAGAGAATAGGATTAAAGTTTAAACTCCTTCTCTCTGCGATCTCTCCATTCTATACTATGGCCCATAAAATAGAATGGCGAGATCGTGCCGCTGCTTTCACGCCTCCCCCCGCCTGCCTTGGCAGGCTCGCTGGGAAAGGGGAGGCTTTTGAAGATCCCCCCCCTTTTTTTTTTTTTTTTTTGCTTTCTCCGCCGGCCTGCCAAGGCAGGTGGGAGGAGAAGCGAACAGAGAAGGGGTTTAAAGTTTAAACCCCTTCTCTCTGCAATCTCTCCATTCTATTCTATGGGCCATAGAATAGAATAAAGAGATCGCGCCGCTGCTTTCACCCCTCCCCCCACCCACCTTGTTAGGCTGGCTGGGAAAGGGGAGGCTTTTAAACATCCCCCCCTTTTTGCTTTCCCCGCCAACAGGGGGGAAAGCAAAGAGAGAAGGGGGTTAAAATGTAAACCCCATTTCTCTGCGATCTCTCTATTCTATGACCCATAGAATACAATGGAGAGATCGTGCCGCTGCCGCGCTGCGGCTCCAGAGAGAACAGGTTTTTAAAAGTTTAAACCCCATTTCTCTGTGATCTCTCTATTCTATTCTATGGCCCCTGCGGCGTGACTCCAGACAAGGAGCCTGGGGGTGGGGAGCTGGGGGCTCTGGCACCAGGCCCAGAAATGTGGGGGTGGTGGGGGGAGGGGGCAGCCTCTGAAGGCCTTTCTCAGGCCCTGTGCTTTGGCGCCTGGCCCAAGAAACGCGGGAGCGGCAGTGGCAAGGGGAGAGGGCAGCCTCTGAAGGCCTTTCTCAGGCCCTGTGCTCTGGAGCCGGGCCTGAGAAACGTGACGGTGGCAGGGGGGCAGCGGCCTCTGAAGTCCTTTCTCAGGCCCTGCGTTCCGGCGCTGGGCCGAGAAAGGCAGCAGCGGGGGGGAGGGGGCGGCCTGCAGTAGGCTCGGCAGGCCTTTCTCAGGCCCTGCGCTCCGGCACCGGGCCTGAGAAACATTGCAGCGCCTGGAGGGGGCGCCTGGCCTCAGTAGGCCTTTTTGCAGGCCTTAATTTACCTTCCTTCTGTCCTGTCATGGCTCGACTAATGGCTGATGGGAGCAGGCCTGGGGTTTGGTCATGTGCCTGCCCCCTGAGTTCCTCACTCCTGGAGCGCCGGTCCAGTGCGCTCCAGGGCCAACCGAGGCCTGGATATGAAGTTTAAGGTTGAAATATGTGGCTTGGGGTAGGGAAGCCATCTATCAGCTCCTGAGGAGCATGTTCCAAAGGCTGACTTTTGAGGGGGTTCATTTTCATGCATTAAGTGTGTAAGTATGCAGTTTACACTACACTGCTTAGAATGGCATAGTTAGTTGCTAATCCAAACAGTAACTTCTAGTAATAAATTACTATTTCCATTAAGATTTGTGTGAATGCTTTTGGTTTCTGCTATTTCTGTGTAGGTAGATGTTTATTTTCTGCAAGGGGTAATTGATTTTATCGTAATATTTATTAATGAATGAATGACATTCAAGAGAGGTCACAATATTATTTAAAACCAAACTCATAGAGAACTAGTTTTTAATTGTTGGTTCTGTGTTTGAAAGAGAGAGAGAGAGAGACCTTGGATTCTAATCAGGTGGGAAGGTAGGATACTAAATAGAAAAATAAATGAATAATATTATATACTAGTCACAGGAGTGTATTTTCCCAGTATATGTATCAAGACGTCATTGTCTTAGTTGTTAAGCAAGCATATGCAGACAAAAATGTTCATACATATTCAGACTCACTCATCTAAAACTAATCTCCAAGGAAAGAGATTTCATACTGTCCTTGCATACTGAACCTCTACAGAGTTAATTGTGCCTACGCCCACTGAAATCAAGAGTGACAAACTCTGCTTGGGATCAGGCTGCTAATAAGCTTGTTGCAAAATGACCTAAACAGTCATTTAGGTTAAGACAATGTAAATACTACGCTGTGGGCTGGAACATTTTTCTTGTGGTTTTTTTCCTGCTGCACTATTATTCTGGAGGTTCCTGACTCACCTGTAGGGATGCCAGACCCCCCCCCGGTGGTGGTGAGGGGTCTCCTGTTGTCAGGTCCCATCTCTCCACCACTGGCCAGTGGTACCCCCCCC